AACAGCTGCGTCAAGGCACATTGCAAGGTATCAGAACACTCCAACAATCGGTGGCACTCGCGTTCTAATTTCTGATGGTTGGAAATTTATGAAAGATGGCATACTATGCTGCTTTTCCTAGCCATTTCCAGTCACTGGAAACAAGAGAAATTGCGTAGGTCTATATAGACATCCTGTTGATAAGAAGAGTAGAAAAGAGCTGGTAAATTCTTGTGGGGAAAAAAACTTCCATACGAGCCCTCGGTGTGTTCTCAGCACTCGTCCCGATGCATTTGAAGCATTTAAACGACTCGACTTAAGTCTGTGTGGGGAAACTGACTCGCCTCATGTCATATTCAAAGCAGGAAGTCAGAAATAGAAATGAAGGAAGTGGCCAGTCAGTTTTCAAAATAAAATTCCCTTTTCATAACAACACTTCTGATATGAAGCCACAGCTCCTCACTGTAAATGACTCTTAACTAATCCAGCGTGCTCCTCGTTGGAGGATGTGGTGAAGAGTAAAACGGGATCTTTTTTTGGATTTGACCTCCTGCCTCACAAATCCAGAGTAGATATGCGGAGAAACACTGAAATGGCACGCGTGTTGGTCTGATCACTTTTCCCCATCTCTTTGTCAGGATGGAAATGGCTACATCAGTGCAGCAGAGCTGCGTCATGTGATGACTAACCTGGGAGAGAAGCTGACAGACGAGGAAGTAGACGAGATGATCAGGGAAGCAGACATCGACGGGGACGGACAGGTCAACTACGAAGGTGAGCTTGGTCATGAGTGTTATTAGAAGCTCCAGAGCTCTGATTGGTCCTGAGGCTTGCTGTGTTATAATTCCTGATGGCTTTTCTTTCTCCGCCTCTTCGTTCTCCACAGAATTTGTCCAGATGATGACCGCCAAGTGAACTGGGCTCGCGTTAAAGACAAAGAATCCGTCAAAAGTTTCACTTACCTCTTATTGCAAAAATCTACATTTAATCATACTGTTCTGTATCAACAACTTAAACTGAATGTTCAAAATCTCAGATCTGTCCATATTAAACAAGTTCACAAAAAGGAAAAAAAAAAAAAACTAACTGAATCTGCATGTACTGGCTTGTACCCCCACCTCTCCGTCCCACTCCCCTCTCCCATCTCAGCGCCGAGCTGCCCAATCAGATCTCAACTCAACAGCCGAGCGGTCGCCGCGCAGCTGGCTTCCTGACGTCACTGCGATGTTTCGGGACGGCCGATCGCCTTTCTTCCTCGACTTCCTGTCTTCTTTCATTTCTGTTCTTCATGCATGAGGCTTTTCGTGGGTTAGCGTCGAGAGCACAGCAGGAGAAAGCAGTCGGTGGTCCTCAGGTCGGCCTAGGAGGTGTTGGTTAGCTGAGCGAAGGAAGAAGCTTTCACAGTTTGCTTACCTGAGTGAAGTCAGATGTTTTTAAGAAAAGCATAAAAATAGAATAAATAAGAAGTCATTTTAGATCTTGTGTTTCGGGCATGTCACTTTTCCTTTGTGTGTTCACCTTTTGTTCAAGGCAGGGTGACGATTTTGAGCCATGTTGGGCGGCGAGTGTGTCGTAGGGTTTCAGGGCGGTTGGTTAAAGATGATCGACATACACAAGCAGCTTTTGACGCAACATTGAGTAAACAAATGGTTTTAGATTAACAGGAAGTGATGAAAGAATAAAATGTCATTGCCTCAAATGCTGTGTGTGTACACAAGTTCACTTTAGTGGGGACGGGGGTCGGTGCTTTGCGGTGTTTCTATTTTCTGTTTGTGCGTGCGTGTGCGTGCGTGTGTGTGTGGGTGTGTGTATGGGTGCGGCGAGGCCCGGCCCAGTCCAGCTGTTCTGTTTGGTTCAGTTGATCTGCATTCCAAGATGTACATGCTCGTCTTTACATTTTGTTTTTCCAATAAAAACACAAACATGAACTGAGATGCCACTTTGTGTGTGTGGGTTTTTTTGTTTTGTTTTTTTTTTAAAGCTGACTTGTGTGTTTTCCTGCAACTCTGTGGGGGACGTACTGCTTTAAAATGACTCATTGGTGATCGGTGTGATGTCTTACTGTGAGCACAGACTCTGAAACCCACCTAACATATTTTGGGATGAGATTAACAAAAACTACTTTCTGCGAAAGCACAAGACTGTGATAAAAGGATGCAACCATGGACTGTATAAAAGAAGATGGTGTTTGGGAGCCATATATCGATAACAGGGTGGCTTTATCAACGTACACTTCCATTATTGGCTAGAAAGTCACGTCAGCTGTTGGCTTCAGTTTGTGATGTTTTGTTTCAGTCTTACTTCACTGACTCGTTAGTAAACCCACATTCATTTATTGCCAGACCATTGAAAGTAAATAAAGTCTAAGAAAATCAACTGTTAATGAATGTATATTTTACAAATCCACTAGTGAACCATCCATTCAGTCATCTACCAGTTCTTTGGGCCAGGTCCTACTTCCCTCGGCTGATCCAGGGGAATACAGAGGTGTTTCCAGGCTAGCTGACACATGTTATCTCTCCAGTTTGTCCAGGGTCCATCCCGGTGCCAGCTCTGATATGAGGACTACCAAATGTTTGAGGGCTAATACCCTCCATCTCACTCTAAGGGATGGAGGGTATTAGCCCTGACCAAAACATTTGTGTTTATTTTTACCATAACTGATCAATCCTGGGTACTATAGGGAGATTTTATTTGCCATTTCCAATCTAAATGCTTCATAGGGCACTGTCACTCCTTTTTAGTAACTCAGATTAGCAGATGGCACCATAGGCTATAGACTAGGCTGCAAAACACAAGGCAAGACCATAGATACTCATGTTAAAATCCCCAACTTAGGAGCAGAAACAATCATATAAATAACAGTTCTGACCTCTATGTATGAGCAAATCACAGCACCGCCTGATGTGCCTGGCAAAAATGTGTTTTGTTTTTTTGGTAATGATAGAGTAGTTGTGATCAGCTGGCCACGATAATCCTGTAAATGTAGCAGAAATTTAAGAAAACAAACAAAATCAAAAATGGGAACTAAATGATTAAACCTCCATCTGAGGGGTAGGTGAGTAAAATCTTCGTCTTCTGCAGTACCCCCATATAAGTAAATCCCTCAGACACTCGCTCCTCACTACATTCTTCTGGCTGTCAGGTGAAAGGCTGAAATATTTATGAGAGCAATCTGGAGCCAGCAGAGCTGAAGGCGAGGGGAGAATCTTCTGCACTGGAAAGCCCGTTATTAATGCTGGAGTGGCAGCTCACTAATAGCAAGCAAAGAGCAGCAAGATGTATTAATACACTTCAGACTGTTACATAACTCCAGCTACTAACTCTGTGTGTGACAGAGGATACATCCAACACCTCCTACACTTCCCCGTCCCCCTGTCTGCTCCTCTGCAATCCCACAATCGCCACCTCAGTCTTAAATATTCAAGATGAAGCTTTTCATTTTGACCTCCTCATACAAGTCGTCTTCATCATGGCTCAAGCCCCCCCTCCCCCCTCCAATTCCTTCTGCCACTCTTTCCTCCAGCTCCCACAGTTTTCTGCTCCCTCCTCTTGTTCTGTTTTGCCCATCCTGTCCCTGGCTCTGTTGCCTAGCAACAGCTCTTCATCTGCAGACAAGACATTCTGGGCGATCTGGAAAAGTCCCTCTGACACCCTACACACACACA